ACCGAATCTACCTAATAAGAGGAGGTCAGTGCCGAAGAACTGTGCACGCTTGTCCCGGAGTGACTGAAATGCTTACAGGCTGTGAGGTCAAAACTAACTTCACCCTCAGGAGAACAATGGGCTCTCTACTCCTCTGCACCTTCCAGCCTCACAGAAACCTGGGGCTCAGCTTGGAGTTGGCTCAGACTCAATGGCAGTGCACATGAGAGCTAAGATGTTGTGTGTGGTTTTTTTTTGCTGTGGTGATGTGTGCCCAAAGGCACAAAGGCAAGTGCAATAGCGCACAATGAATCCGGGCACTAGCTTCTATCATTCACCACCACTCACGGTTCAACAGAAGCGCTAGTCTCATTCAACATCCTTGAGGAAGCAGTGAACACCGCTTGGTGTCTTAGATCTTGACTCATGAGTAAATTTCTTATTTATATTCTCTATGAAGAAACAAAGGAGGATTCAAAAGCACTCCTGAGCATATAAAAATATGATAGTTGTCTTGAGGAAAAGCTTGTAAATGGTAACTAGTTAATTCAGCTGAATAACTGCTAGACATTTCTCCAAAATGAACTAACTGAACTGTCACTTAGAGAAAAACTGACAATATTTGCTGCCAATTATACAATGCAAGCTTTCTAGTACAAAACAGATTTTTTGAAAACTTCAATCTGTTCTTCGACTTTGACAGCTTCTTAAGAAAAGATTGGTGAGACTGGTGGTGATATTAGAATGTGTGGTATTTTTCTGTATCATGGGATGTGTTAGTTAGCATTTGACAGATCTGCACTGATTCAGTGAAATATTTTCCAAATGCTGAATCATACAAAATCATAAATAGGAAAATATCACACTGCAAGGCACATTAATGAATCTGAAGTTAATGGGATTTGAAATTTCACTTACATGGTTTCACATACTACAATGCAAACACTCTTTCATTTTGGGGCAATGTCCAATAATAATATCCACTTGGTCCAATAAAGCCCACTACCATCAAGTCAACTGTGACCCCTGTAATCCTCCATCAGGTTTCTGAGGCTGTAAATCTTTCTGAAAGGAGAGCGTGGTGGAGCTGAACAACACACCCATCAGTAAGCAGCACAATGTGGGAAACACCCTATCCCAACAGGACTCCTCAATAATAACCACAGGAACATGAAAAAAGAGACTAAAACACACCTCCTTCCCCAACTACGTATCTGAGAGAATGGATTTTCTTCACTTACTTCAAATAATGTATTAAACAGGCTGACTGTAGGCATGGATTTCAGAATCCAACATTAAATCCAACAATAATAATAATTATAATAAAAATACAGCACCACTCACTCTACATTTACTTTGGATAATTATTACTCATAAAACATGTATTAGCTGTATTAACATGAGTCACTCTTTAATAATTTTGACGTTTTTTAGTTTTCATTTTGGATACTGAAAATATTTACATAACTTTCAAAAACAAAGAGTCCTTGGGGGAGCTCAATACTTTCTTGACAGTAAAAGGGCCTCGGGGCTGAAAATGCTGGAAGATCTTTGGTGTCGGCTATGGCAAGAATCTGTGATAAATCGGGAGACTGTTCTGTGACATGATGAGGGTCCGTGTCTCCTGTGCGCTCTCCCCGCCTGCAAGCCCTGAGGAGTCAGCTTCCCGGGCACACAGGTGGCCTGACAGCAGCATTCTCAGTACCTCAAGCAGCGCCAAGTTCCTAGCACACCTATATGTAGGGACAACAGCATTTGAGAGGTGAATCTGCAGGTTACAAGTCTGATTTTCTTAGGTTACAGATGAGAAAATGACAATCTAGAAGTAAAAAGAATCCAAACAGAAAACCGAAGACGAAAACATCTGTTACTGGTAAAACGCCTTGAGCAAATGCATCTCTCTGCTTCGGCTTGCTCCAGTCGAGTGGGGATAGTCATGGGCCCCGTGAGGATTCTAAGGGAAATGAAATGACTGGGGGAACTCTGGCGGCCTAGTGGATAAGGTGTTTACAGCCCCTAAAAATCTGAGGGTCAGCTATCAGTGAGTTCCAACTTGATGGCAATGAACATTGTAAATAACACGAGCAAACAGTGCAGGTCACAGCAACAAGTAAAACTACTGGTTCCGACTCCCAGTGACCCTGCAGAAGAGACCACCTACTCCACAGGGTGCCCAGGGCTGGAAATCCTTACGGGAGCCTCATTTTTATTTGTTTCCAACAGCTAACCACCATGACTCCTTAGCTAATAGTTAATAAAAAGGCCTAAAATGACTGGTTATTGTTGCTGCTGCTGTTAACTCGCCGCTAAACTGATACTTCTCAATTGATGGTTGGAGGAACTAACTTGTTCCTAAGGCTATGTAGCTGGGTAAGCAGCAAGTTAGAGACACAGAGCAGATCCCAAAAAGGCCAGAAAAATATGGGAGAAAAAAAATGTAAATAACAATAAAAACTAGACCCTCAAGACACTACATTATAGTACAGTAATAATGTTCATGCAGGCGATGCTAAGCCATTGAGAAAATATTACAATATACTTAATGTACTACTTTAGGATGAGAAAAAAATATATATTTCTAAAATGACAAATACTTTAGAATGGTCCCAATAAACTTTTGCTACTTAAACCCTCATAACTTTCAAAAATTCACTTTATAGAAAATGCAAAAGCAAGAAAGGAACCAAGGTATTACTATAAAAAGCTTGGCTATTCGCTGTAATATCCATCAGCATGATTTATTCCAAAATCTCCAGAACTTTTTAAATGTCCTACTATAAAGATCCAATTATCTCAACAAGAGATCACTAGCTCATATTCTGTCTCCACTATGGGTTTCAGAAGGCGGTAACAGTTCTTTATTACTGTCTCATAACCCTTTGTGACAATTCTGTGCTTATTAAACTTCTTTCCTTTGGTGACGGAATAACCAGGAAAATCAACACTTTGAGAGTAGAAAATAAACCACGTTTCAAAATCAAGACCACATTCCAAATTTCTTAAAAGATATTTTTTTTTGTTCAATTTGTAAAAACATTGGTCACCATTTAACATACAGTGGCAACAAAATGCACTCACAACATGCATCAACAGTCAATGAATCAAAATATACGGACAACGTGAATCCGAACAGCACTAAAGTAGCTCGTGTTGCATTTAACCATAGTTCCAGTGCTTCTAATACAGAAATAACCAAGGGGAGAAACAAAAAGTTCCAGTTTCAACTTGAAAAACTTACAAGTAACATGAAATAATGACTGTATGAAATTATTAAGAGAACTCTCCAGAAATCACTTTGTGCACAGCACCACACTAGAGAAGGGGGAAAAAAATCTTGAATAATATGTATCTTGGGTCAATGGCAAAAAGGTTCCTTTGTTCATTAGTGTTCATTCATTGACCTGAAAGAGTAAAACATTTTCCACCACGTAAAGTATCTTTCAATATATTTTAATACTTTAATTTTGAAGATGTTCATCTGGCAGCTTTTATAAGACTGGATTATACAAAAGTTAAAGAAAAGGAAACCCATTATTAAAAGCCCTTTCAAAATTCATACACAGGATTTCTGGATATGGAATTTGAGATAAGGAGAAAAAAAATATGCACCACAACAAACATGTCTTTAGAGACCAGAAAGGACTAGCAATGAATATCAGGAATAAATGCACTGAAACTTTTTTTTTAAAAAAGGACATTTAAAAAGAACATTATATGTTGTATAATTTATTTACTTTTTTCCACTTTAAATCCATGATGAAAGGATAGCATCTTAAAATGCTCAGGAGATAATTTATAACAAATTGCTTTCTGGGAAAAAAGTAGCTACTCTGGAAATAAAAGCACTAAGTAAATAATGCAAACAAAACTGTCCGATAACATTGCTGAGTATACAGTCAGACCATAACTTTTTTTTTCTTCTTTCATCTCCATTTGGCAGCATAAATCATTTCAGAGGGTAAAGTTAGTAACTTCAAATTTAATAAAGAGAAATTTCATTTTTCTTGTTATGTGTATGTTTACCTTTACAAGGAAGAAAAAAATTTTAGCAGGTGTAACAGTCCACATGCTAAAAGTTTATTAAAGACGCAGAAAATTTACATTATGGTTACATGGAACATGGTTAAACTGAAGTCAGAAATCCAAGACTAGAAATAAATAACTTCAACCTAGAATAGACTTTAAATACTACAAAAGAATTATAAAGACTGAATAACTTTTGACTAAGAGACTATCTAGTTTTAAAAAAACAAAGGCAAAATAAAAAATATTTCACTTCAAAAAGACATTATTTAGAAATAAAATTCACTAAAAAAAATACAATGGCATCATGATTATGAGTATGGAGTATTGCAACTCAGTCAATTCAGGTAAAAAAAAGCTTTAAACAAAAAGATCCTTCTCAATTATTAATTTGTATCTCACTGACCTTACAAACACCTCTTCAATTTCCCCATCTGCAGCCTGGTGCTCCCAGACAGCTCCCACTGCCACATACTGTTTGTATTCTAAAATGCTGTTGTTGTTGTTGTTGTTGTTGTTGATTGCCTTTGAGTCCAGCACGACTCATAGTGACCCTATGAACAAAAGGCCTGAAGCCTTTCTATAACTATCGACATTTACCAAAGTTCATAGAGTTTCTGGAGGCCTGTTGCTTAGGAAGTGGATTAATTTCCAAGAGTTATGTCTAAACTTTAGTTCACCCTAATTCTGCCAGCCCCTCACTAAACCGACTCTAAAATAACAACTGGCTTCACCTCCAGAGTAAGAACTCACCACTTAATTATGCACAACTTGGAAAATAAAGATTAAAAAATCAAGTAGAAATAAGTACACTTGTTAGTATACATGGTTTTATGTAGTGGGAAGTCACACATGATTATTCTATTCAAACTCTGGCTCGTAAGACAGAAAGCTCAGAAATTAAAAATGAGTTGTAAAGTACTTTTAAAACTGTATTCATTTTGAATGCATGTGAGAATCAATAACTGCCACTCTAGACTGAACATGTTTATGGTGGAAACAGTACAAAATTGATGTTACCAGAAAGAGTTAAAAAAAAAATCTCAAACTGATTATTACACATATTAAGTAATTTGAAAAAATCTTCAGGTTAAATTTAACTCTCCAGGAACACAGCAACATAAATGCTTCCATGCATGTATACATATGAAGTGACAAATAAGCAGACTCCAAGTCAGTACAGCACATCATGACCGGTACTTAGTATTTCTGATGTATAAAGACTAAAAGAAAAGTAAAATGTTGACTGCCAATGATGAAAAAGCATTTTCAACAGTTTACATAAAATATTACCAAACCATTTGTAAAAAGATGTCCTAAGGAGACCAAGCCACAGTAAGTTAGTGTTCTCCATAACACATGCGGAATTATTGATCCCTTATCTATACACTGGTACTGTCTTAATTCCTAAATGTCGTGACAGTGTATTCAATAATTGAGGTACATTAGTTTACACTGCTGTCTAGATCTTCTAGGAGGGTTAATTTTTCTCTTCCAGTTTTTCATCTTCTTCACCTCCTCCAAAGAAAAACAAAGGAAACATTCCTAACACGCAGCCAATTGCTACTCCCACAGCTTTGCCCTGAGAAACAAGAGAGAACAATAAAAAGTTATTTATGAGAACTACTATCTACTATAAAATTCAACTGTCACTACATTTTTTTATCATAATTAAGTTTAAAAACAAACTACCAAAGAATTCTCAAATAAATAACATTAGTAAAGTTCTAAAAAGTAACCTGGAAAAAAAATTTTCTCTTCAAACTATCATCTCATTCAAGCACAAAAACACTTAAAATTGTTTGTCTATTTAAATAATAGAAAGTAATATAAAAACCTCACTTTCTACTCTCAACTGATGTTCTATTATTATATATTCTTTTTCAATATTAATCCTTGTGTATACCTAACAGATCATTAGAGAAACTAGACTTGATGAAGAATGTGGCATCAGGATTGGAGGATGATGCATCAATAATTTGTGTTACGCAGATGACACAACCTTCCGAAAGTGAAGACTTAGAGTGCTCATTGAAGAATACAGTATCCTTCAATACGAGCCACATCTCAACATCAAGAAAACAAAAATTCTCACCAGTGGACCAATAGGCAGCATCACGACAGAGGGAGAAAAGACTGAAGCTGTTAATGATCATCAGTGCACTGGATACCAGCAGTCAAGACTTCAAAAGACAAGCTGTACTGGGACAAACTGCTGTTAGGGACTTCTGCCGGACCAGAGTAATAAAGTCAGTTTAAAAACCAGAGTGTGCCTGATCCAAGACACGGTCTTTTAAATTACTTCTGAGAGTGGAACGATAATGAACGATGTTAGAACAATCAAAGCTTTTGAGTAGTGGTGTTGAAGATGAACAGACAAGTCTGTCCTGGAGAAACTAAAACTAGGGTGTTCCTTGGAGGGTGTTCCTTGGAGATGGTAAAATCCTGTCTCACATATTCGGTGTATGTTCGCTGGGAAAGGCTTTTTTGGAGAGAAGGAGGAAGGTCAGTGAAGCGAGGAAGCCCCTCAACAATGGACAGTGTGACTGTAACAACTGGCTAACGTGTGTCAGAGGTGGTGGATGGTACAGGAAGGACAAGGTTCAGGGCCACTGTTCATAGAGTCACTACAGGTGGCAGGCTCTTTGATGGCACCTAACAACAGCAGTAGCATACCAAACTCTGGTGGCGTAGTTTATAGTGTGTTGCAGTATTAATCAAAAGGTGTTACAGGGCACCTTTTACCCTCCACTTCTAACCAAAATGTTAGCAGTGTGAACTCACCAGTCGCTTCACCAGAGAAGGATGTTGCAGTCGGCCGTTGTGAAGATTTACAGATTTGACAACTCTGCAGGTTAGTTCAATTCTGTCTTACAGGGTCACCATGAGTTACGATTACTCAACAGCAGGTCTCAGTGACCATGCCATGCAGTCAAGGACGATGAAGGACAAAAGCACTGCCTGCAGGCTTTCCTCGGTGGAATCCTCAATGTAAACTTCTAGTCTTTTAACTAGCAGCAAAGTGCCTGACCATGACACCATCAGCGCTTCTTATACCTAACTAAAACGTACCAGTAGTAACTCAGGCATTCTAACTATAGTTATTCTTATGCCAATATAGTTTTCACTCCAGAGTACTATATCATATATTATGAGTGACAGGATAATATCCATACGCATACAAGGAAGTCCAGTGAATATCACTATCATTCAGATATATGCACCAACAACCAGAGCCAAGGAAGAGGAAATAGAAGATTTTTAACAACTTTTACAATCAGAGATCGATCAAACATGCAGTCAAGATGCATTCATAATAATGGGTGACTGGAATGCAAAAGTTGGGAACAGAGAAGAAGATTCAGTAGTTAGAAAACATGGACTGAGTGACAGAAATGGAGCTGGAGAGAGAATGACTGAATTTTGCACAATCAATGACTTATTCATAGCAAATACTTTTTTTAAGAGACATAAACACAGGTTTTATACATGGATTTCACCTGATGTTATGCATAGGAATCAGACTGATTACATCTGTGGAAAGAACTGCTGGAGAAGCTCAATATCAGCTATGAAAACTAGGCCCGGAGCTGACTGTGGAACAGACCACCAACTACTCATATGCAAGTTCAAGCTGAAGTTGAGGAAAATGAAACGAAATCCATGGGAATCAAAATATGACTTTGAGTCTATCCCACCTGAATTTCAGAACCATCTCAGGAACAGGTTTGAGGCCTTGAACAC